TTATAAAATATAAAAAGCAATATATTATTAGTTACATTTATTCCTATATAAAAGATTAAGTTCTTTTATCCCACATATATACTTTGTAAAACAACAAATATTTACATAAATAAATTAACTTCTATCAAGATAATTTATGAGATACGAATGATATGAGGTACAAAGTTCAAGTCATAAAGGTAAATAGAAGATAAGATGAAAATATTGATATTTAAATTTATATAACACATCAAAAAGGTGCGATAATTTTAGATAAAAATAAATATTTCATATATAGGAAATGAATGCACACAAAATATGTTTAGAAAGTACATAAAAACATTCAATTGGATGTTGATTGAATTCATGAAAGAAGTTTGAAGGTCAATTGCACAAGAAAACAAAGATAAAATATATTTTAACCCACAAATAATAATAAATAAATAAATACTTACCACGTTAGTTGGAAGTTTATGACCTGGCAAATATTCACATTTTCATGAGTTTCGTTTATGATTTCAGTTAATTTTTTTCCATTTATCATTTCCTCATATACATACATAGTAACTTGATCTTCAAAATGAGATAATTTGGCACAATTATGTCCAACAATTTTAGCAATAGCTGAGCCCCTGATAATAAAAACAATAATAATAGAAACAAATTATATAAACCGGTATTGTAATTGAAGGTTATAAATTGAATGCTGCTTACCAGTTTCCAGACCCAACGATGCAAACTTTATTTTTTGTCGGCATTTTAAATTATTTTAGTAGAAAAATATTTTTAAAAATAAAGAAAGTAAATATACAAGCACAGCCTTCAACTGAACAAGCGCCACGATAATGCCAATCACTATCCACACGGACAATTATCTTTCTTATGACATCCATGCACTTTGCTTCGGTTATCATGTAAAAACATAGGAGTGGTGTTAGGTGGTGGGGCCGATATGTTTCAAATTTCAATGATGCTTTTAATAAATATGATATTTATTGTATAATAAATAATCTGTCGGTACTATCGTGTAACAACAAATTGATAACGACAGAAAACATGAAACGTCAAAATATATATGAACTTAGTATTTTGACGTTTAATTATTTATTTCAATCAAGGACTTTATATAAGGTTGTCAAATATCTCCGCCTTTTTGTATTGAATAAAGAGCAAAAAAGCGGAAGGGAGATATTTGACAACCTAATATATATGTCATGCCATCCATTCAAGCAAAATTACATTTTTTAAATAAATATTATTTTTTATATATACTTAAATTTATATTTATTAATTTTCCATAGGGTAAGTATTGTAGTAAACGCAAAAAAAAAATCGAAATTGAAAATTTTATTCATCTTTATAAAGATGATATGTTAGAAAAAATGGATGTATGCGTTTATGCATCCCAAACTAGGTCTTTTGTCTGGGTATTCCGGAATCCGGACTCAATACCGCTTCATTATAGTACCATCAGTCAGCCTCACAAGGAAACCCTCAGGTTTACTCTTCTGAAATTTTGATGAAACTTCGCATACTCTTCTTTTATCTATGCTTCGTATGGTAAATAGAGCTGATGATCAAACCGGGCCTTGTAAAATATTATAGGCTTATGAGAAGTGGTTTAATTATAAAAACTAATTAAAATTGCAAAGAATAGACCGTGCGTTATGTACGCGCAATAGTGCACATATAATACCTCTGTTTATCTCTCGTCCTCCCATGGGGGGAGGATATAGAATGCTATAATGTATGTATGTGTGTTTATGTATGTATGTGCGAAAAAATAAAGTTTGAATGATTCCAAAAACATTCGATTCCTATTGATGGGTAGAAGTGCTCTGTTTAGTTTTTGGCAAAGGCAGGTCCAGCTGCAAAAAATGGTAATTTAGTTTTTGAGAGAACGGAGCGTCCGATTTGAATTATTCAAAAAACATTTTACTTATATTGGCAAAATGAAGAACTTTATTATTAAATTTTTGAATAGGCAGGTCTTCGGTTTCGGAGATACCAAAGAAAATTTCCAAAGGACATTTTAAATTATGTGAGCTCACTTATACATTAAACAAGCGATTTTAATGTTTGTATTTTGTTCAGGAAATTGAATTATCACTTAGGTTTTCGTACCAATATGCACAAAATAAAAAACTTTCCAAAATTCGAGATTTTTCAAAAATTCATTTTTTTCAAAATTTTAAAATGAAAAATTAAATTTGTATAATTGCTTATTTTCCCTAATAAACTCTTATATTTTGCCTATAAAATACAAATTGAAATTGTTACAGCATTAATAATAATCTATTTGAAATATTTAAAACAATTATTAATTATTGATCAAATTTGTTGATTGATTATTTTTATTTCTCGAATCTTTAATTCCAGTCGGGAAACCAGATTTAATGTGATGTATTTATCACTTATTACAGCAAGATATATGTATAGTCTTCAATGCCGAAAAAAAGATATATATGAAAATCATGATTAATTATACTATAGCAATTGAATTTCAAATATGAATCTCATCAGATATAAAAATAGTGCTGGTAAGAAGAACCATAATTATGATTTAAACCTTGTTTTAATAAATGTTTCTGTATATTGAAAATGCATATTCAATATATGGAAACATTACATAATAATAATTGTTATTAATATTAACTAAATAATAATTATAATTATTGTGTTCTGTATTTACTTACATTTGAAAAATTAACTTTATCAAAATTAAAAATATAAAATAGTTATAACAAATATTCTATTGATTTTCTAATCACATTTCTGATTAATTTTGCTTGCTCCTGAATATTGAAATATCTCAAGCAAACATTAGGAAGCTTTCTTACTAAAATGATCATTCTTCGAAGAACGCCTTGTAGAATGCAATTGATTATCAATTAGATTTGTTGTCCCAAAGGATAAAATTAGTAAAATTGGAGGTTTCAGAGTGAAATTATTTTAATCAGATCTAACAGGATTGAAGTTTCAATTTTTCACTATGTTTATGAATAAATAAAATACACTTAATTTGCTAATATTAATTAATAAAGAATTGGCATTTTTTAAAATGAATTGTTATCTCCCAAATGTTTAGTGTCCAAAATTTGGGCCCCAAATATACCTATAATATACATAAGTAATAATAATTGTTAAGAGAATTAGTTGTAGTATCATTAATAGAGTTTAAATCGAAGTATTATAAGCAATATTCGAAATTTTCATGAATCTTTAAAACAAAAATACTTGTATAAAAAAAGCATATCTTTGTGAATATCAACCATGAATTGCAAATTTGCACAAATAAATTTATCAGATCACATTTTTGATATGCATGTTAATTTGTTAATAAATATTTTTTATTTGATTTTCTTCAAACATTATAAGTATCATAATATAGTTGTACAAACTTCAATAAATATTAAAATATAATAGACAAAATAGACTTAAATTATTAAAATAATTCATGCTATAAAGCAATGAGGTATTAACTATGCATTCGAATCAATGTTTTATACACATGACAAACATAAATGTGAAATATCTGGTTGATCGTATCTGAAATAAAAATAGTTCTAATTATTAATTAATTTTAAATAATGAATATATGAAAAAGAGTACTTACACAATTATAGAACAGGTTTTGCAATACAAATTTTCACATTTATTGCATTGAACAATACATTCGGCACACTTGTTTTTATCACAGAAATAGCATTTCCACAATGCATTATCATCACAGTAAGGAAGAGAAGTCTTCTAAAATGTAAAATAAAGGTTTATAAAATATATTATATAAATAATGAAATTGTGGATAGACAAATATTTTGATTTGCTACGAAGAATTTGTAGAAAATGCATATGAATGTTTCCACAAAAGCAGTAGAAATAAAATCATAAAATTATAAATAAAATAAAAGAAAGTCTATTGTCCTGATATCAATTACAATTTTAAATAATTATAGTTATTTTCTCGAGATCTAATAGGAATCAATTATTTATTCTTTATAAACTCTTGCGAAATTTATTGTAGTATTCGACTCTTATAGATAAACTAACAATAAGCTAAATACTTTTTCAAAACTTTGTCAAAATTTTATACGAGTAAGTTATTAATAAAATTATTATTACCGTCTCCGCATTGTTTTTGTTATTCACATTCTTCTCTTGATTATTATTATTTTCTATTTTACTCAAATTTTTAACTCCATTAAATAGCATGCTCGTGGTTTTATCTAAAAATAAATGATAGAAGTCGATCACTATTTCAAATAGTATTATGAATGTTTTTTAAATATACCATAGATAACCCTCATTTTTGTTGCATTGTTTTGCTGTTGTATTTTATCACTAACATAAGTTTTATATTGAGGTTGTAAATTTTCGTCTTGAGAACGCTTTCTCTTTGCCATTTTATGAAATCAACATAAAAACATTTGAATTAAAGTACTTTTGAGACGAAAATAATTTTCCAACTTACTAGTTAGCTTTATTTGCGGCAAAAATTAAATTGTATATGACACTGACGCAAATATTTGACACCTGTCAAGGCACCTCCATAGATACCTATCTGTTGCATATAGATGCGCCACTGTAGATTGACAACATAGATATAAATATAGAGCGGATACTTTCAATTAACGGAATACGTTAGATTAACGGAATACATCAGATCCGTTCAAGATTTAAATATTGTTCAAATTTCGTAAAATAACGTCCGAAATGATAATTGTAAAAAAATGTATGTAATCATAATTATTATAGCGTAATTCTATATCAACTTGAAATTTTGATGCAAATGAAATTAATTCTTGCATTCATTTTATAAATCAATAAGCACAGTATCTAATTAAAATCACATTTGTAATTTGTTGGTTTGGTTTTACATAGAATAAACAATGTTAATATTAACTTTGAAGACATTCATGGACGAAATTTATTATTTGATTAACCAACCATTTTATTAAGTTAATTTTATACCTCGATGATGAAAAGTAAAAAGCAACCCTGAGTTTTCATCACGTTTAATAAGATTATCGATATTTTATACAAGAATTTGATCAGTCATGCTAAAAGTGCTTTCTTTAAAAAAGGTGATAGAGTAGTGCTACTTCAAATAATAATTTTAAAAATATAGTAATACTAATAATTTGTTGTATAGTGTAACCGAAGAATACCCTTAGAGTAAAATATGATTTATTCATTAATATTTATTAATTAAATTAACTTTAATTGAATGATTATTATCAAACTTATAAATAAACTATAAAAGATCAATTCAAATAGTGTTATTTGTAAAAAAATAATAAATTAAAAAATAAAAAAACTAGTGAATCATGTTTTGAGAATACACAGTAAAATTTTTGAAATAAAATATTAAATATTTTTGAAATGACAAGCGATCTCCAGGGGCGCCTAAGAAAGGTCCTCCACTGCTGGAATGATTGCAGCCTTCTAGGTTGATAAAACCAAAAAAAAAAAATCTTGTGAAACTAAAATATATTGTCTGTACGATGACCCTCGGAGAAACAAAAAAATCAAAAATTTACAAAATGGCGGCGTGTTGAAAAAAAGTTAATTTTTTTCCAAAATTTTGGTCGTTTTTAGCCTGCCAAAATTCGATTTTTGATCAGATCAAATACTGGAGGGTCATCGTATGGAGAACTATATAAAGGAGATACAAAAAAAAAATGATAGCGATCGGACCATTTGTCTCCGAGTAATCACTCTAGCAAATTAAAACAATACTGTTTTGAGAAAAACACATTTAAAGATAACATGATCGTTAAACTGTACACTGATGCAAATATACTGTTTTAAAAAACCCGTGACACAAGGTAGAAATCTGGTCAACCTAATTGAATATATGTTCAAAGAACATATACAACATATACAACTTTTAAATATACTACTAACTCATAATTAACTGATCTTCACAAAAAATAATATCTTAAGATGTTATTTTTTGTAAAGATCAGTTAGTAATATATATAAAAATATAGTTATAACAATTTTGATATCAAAACTGACCTTATAAAAACAAATTAGTAACAATTTTGGTATCGAAGCTGCCAAAATTGGTCGAAGCTACCGAAGACATTGGGTGAATGACGCACGCAAATGGGCGAATTAAAATGCACGTGAGCGGTTAAACGCATGTTAAACGGTTAGTCAATCATTTTTTAATCCAGTAGAAGTTGGTTCTAAAATTCAACGTTCATTATATCATAAACTAATATAAAAATGTATATGATGTACGAAATAATATATTACATTTATCAATAAAAAATATTATAATTTTAAGAGCGCGTTTCCACTGAAAGGAGAAAGAAGCTGGTAATGAATTTAAATGAATAGATCCAAAATATTATGTTTGCTATACTGGTAAAATAATTGTTTTAAATTTTTTAATTATTATTTATTTATTCATTAGCAAGCCGTAATCAATAATATTAGATATTATTTCAGGCTCTTGTCAAGCTTATTCATAATTAATATTAAAATGATAGTAATTTTATAATAATCACAGTAGATGCACAAATTTCGCTTCTGAAAAAAAGAGCTAAAAAAATATCATAGTTTTCTTTTAGAATTTTTATGATTTTCAAATATGATAAAAACTGAAACATTTGGCAATATCAGGCAATATTCTGCACCAATGTCCAACTGTTGAACGATTGCATAACAGAAATGATAATTTTCAGTGCGTGGCTCCAATCCGGACAGACGTGTGGAGAACCCTAAACGTTATGTTGTGTTAGATATAAACCAGCATTGCACAATTGTGCATCGTCGTTGCTTTGCATCAATTTGCATTTTTATTATAGTTAAGGTCACCCAAGTAATTTGGCGAAACATGAGTGAAATATTTCAAAACTGAACTATGTGATATTAAATTAAATAAAACATTTTATTTTATTTTAATCAATTTTAACTGTGGATTTTATTTAATTTTTTTAAAACAAACCGTGCGAAAAAATGTCGACCAGTTCTGCATATCTAACGCCCAAAGTCAAAATTAATGATGAGGATTCCTTGGATTCAGATCATTCGGATAATGTGTAAGTAATATTTTTTTTTATTTATAATTACGGTAATAATTATTGGTTTTATTTGGTACCTGATAAGAATTTTTTTTACAATAATTATTCATTTTGAATGTAAACAATAATTTATCCAATGTCAAGTATCTCAATACGAATGAAAATCGAATATCGTTTTTATTTCCCTTGATTTATACTTATTAGATTTCTTGCAAAAAATATATAATGAAATTATTTCAAAACATTTTAAAATACGTTGAATGAGGCGATTACTTACTAAGCCATTATTGGTTTTAGTCTTGACGATTTAGGATTGTTTTTTCTAATGATTTTATTCTTCGATCCGTTTATGCAATTTTATTTTTTTCATTTTCACTTTATTTTAGCAATCGAAAATACAATATTGATCATTCATACAAAATGTGCAGAGATTTTTAAGAATACTTGCTGAAAGGAAAACATTTTGATAAGATATTAGTACCGGAGAATCCGCTAGGAATAAAATAATAGATTTAGGATTATTGATTGAAATGGTATAAGCAATATAAATTGATTTAATTGATTTCATGTACTAAATATAAAAAATGCAAGTTACGTAAAAGCAAATTACCTTGTAATTCACCTTACCAAATTTTACATAATGATAAAATTAACTATTGCCATTACTTATTAAACCTTTATTAAATAATTCTGCGTTCATGATTTAGGATTGTTGATTAAAATATAATCATAGGAAATTATTAAATTAACTGGTTGGACGGGTTGGACTAAATATAGAATATAATATTACGAGTTACGTAAATGCAAATTTGCGAAATTACAAAATGTGGTTCACACCACATTTTACCTTACCCAATTTTAAATTATGATAACTTACTACAAATTCTAGACATTAAAATTATCTAGTGATAAAATTGCGATCTACAAAAATCAGTTTTCTAAAAATACACATAACGTTCTAATAATATACTTTACATTTACAAAGTAAACTTCCTATTATTACCAATTGAGTATATAATTAAGTTAGATGTTCGTAATTACTAAGGCAAATACCACTAATATATAAGTTCATAATGGACTACATGTGCCAGCGCTTTGAATCAATCATCGATGTTAATTATTGATCTTAACTAAAACTAATCATATTTTTCGAAAAAATGTGGATGTTAAATAAAATGATATTTTTAAGGTATTGCATTGTACAACATTTTAATAGCACACTGTTTACCATTTGTTTACCAGTGATGGTAAAAGACATATTGAGGCAAAAATAATAAACAGGAATCAGTGGACTTCATTAGAAGTGAGACCTTTTATACTTCTGTTTTGGGTATTGCAAAAAGTATAACAGTCTCGTTGAACATTCTAATAAACAATAAGCAAGGAAGTTGTATCAAATTTATTGTAGAAAAATTAAAAAACAATTTAGTGACCTATTTTAAATATACGAAAAAGTAAAAATCCAAATTTTGCTTTACCTATTGTGTACTCCAGTAGTAGGAGTACTGTATAACTGAACGTAGTTTTTAGATTATCTTTGTTTTTCGACTTAACAATTGATTTAATGCCTTCGATGATCAAGCAAATAAAAACCTATCACTGTGAGTCATAAATAAAATATTTAACATTAAACCTACCGACAATTCGTGTATACCGTGCAATTAATTACCGTGCGCGGTCAAATTGACCTGCAATTGAGAAGTTATTTATTTCATTATTTAATTCAGATAATGTTTGTATAAATATAAAATGAAGAAATTTTCATGAAGTTCCATCTAAAGATATTTTTATATAATTTCTAAAAGAAACTATGAGAAAAGAAATTATAATAAATATTTATACAGTATGCCATATGCATTCACAATATACTTTATTTGGCTTTCTCCCATTATTTACCAATTATTTTTGACTGTGTTAAATTGATTTAATACAGTAAAGTAAATATATTTGTTGTTTCACCAAGCCAAACTTATGGACAGTGTTGATAAAAAGTAGATTTTCTTGAGTTACTAAAACAAAAATTTGTGCCTAAAAATGCTTTTACTCGTCTCCCTATACACAATTTACGCATTTATCCAGCTAGGATCAAGATTCAGAAATATACCTAAAGTTGCCACCTACAAATTTTCGACTTCATATTACAATTCTTAGCCATCTGGTCTGTCACATTTTCACCAAACAATGTACTAATACAAAATCTAATAGTTTTCCGTGCATTTTTCCTGATTTTTCCTATATCTATTGAATATTTTTTAAATCTTGGGATAAGCAACTTTTTGGTTTACTTTTATACATCGTGGGAGATTGGGTTTACTTTTATACATCAAATTTCAATAAAAATTTGATTTATAATCAATAACTTTGAAATTTATGAATAAATTCATCAGTTTTAGAACTACAAACTATCCAATTTAAGAATTGAACAATCTCTTCTTATCATTTCCCAAATAGGGATATCCATTTATATA